GCAGGCTGCTGATGTGCAGCCAAGGGTAAGTAATGCCCGGGCATTTTCCTGGAGAGCGGATGGATGGGATGGCGGCTTACCGCAGCAGCCCGCTCCGGCCCTCCAGGGAGCGAGTAGTGCTTGCTACCCTACCACGACAGCAGGTGCCCGCGCAGCTGAGCCTGCCCCCCTACAGCCATTGGCTCCTTCCGCCCCACAACGGCCGCAAGCTTCGGCTGAGACTCGGATGAGGCGGCTGTTGAGCAGTTCCGGCCAGCGCCAAGACGAGGTTGCGGCAAGCTTTTGCGCATATCTGGGCCTGCCAGCTGGACGAACTGAAACAGCCTTTTCCGAAAGGCTTCTAATGCAGCTGCCTGACATGATGCACTTGTACGAGCGGCACGCAGAGGCGCAGCGTTCGCAGATATTGTGGAAGAAGAGGATTGATGCAGTTGTTGGAGACCGCTTGAACGAGCTCTATTTGGTCATGGAATGCCTGAACAACGGCTTGACATCTAAAGACTACGACAGACTCCGCCGAGAGATTCTGTCTTCCAAAGGTTTGGGCGAATCGAGAGGAAGAACAGAGGCACCGGGTCGTGGCTAAACATGCTTACAAATCAGTCGAATCAGCACATCAAGGGATTAAGCCGTTTAGAGAGCATCCGCGCATGGGCTTTGTTAAGACTGGGTGTTGATTAAACAACAACCTGTGTAAGGATTTCTTGTCCGCGGCGATTGAGCATTGCACTCTTTAAGCATTCTGCCCCCATGTTCTGACAAACATCTTTCGGAATGCTTAGACCCCTGAGCTGCAGGACGGGGAAGCTGGGGTGGGGGAGGGCAACAGTAACAGGCTGCGCCTGCTATTTGCCTACCACTGCCGCCGCGAGGCGACGACGATGACGACAACGACAACAACAACGACAGCAGCAGCAGCAGCACCACCACCACCACCACCACCACCACCACCACCACTACTACCACCACCACTACCACCACTATTGCAGCTGCTGCTGCTGCTGCTGCTGCTGCTGCTGCTGCTGCTGCTGCTGCTGCTGCTGCTGCTTACTACTACTTCTTCTTCTACTACTACTACTACTCCTCCTGCTGCTGCTGCTGCTGCGGCTGCTACAACAACAACTACTACTACTACTACTGCTGCTACTGCTGCTGCTACCACTACTACTGCTACTACTGCTGCTACCACTACTACTACTACTACTACTACTACTTCTTCTACTACTACTACTACTACCACCACTACTACTCCTACTACTACTCCTACTACTACTCCTACTACTACTGCTGCTACTACTACTACTACTACTACTGCTTCTACTACTGCTACTGCTACTGCTACACCTACTACTACTGCTACACT